CCCCAACGGCCGTTGTGCGGCCGCCTTCAACCCTCCCCCCCCGGCCCACGCACACACCGCCCCCCCTTTTGGGATAGCCAGGGTGCTGCCCCACTAAGCTCCGTGCAAGACGTTGGGGTGGTTTCCCAGGGCCGCCCCGCATCAGTTGTTGGGAGTCTTAGCTGCCCCTGCCGTGCTCCGGTTCCTGAGGCTGTTGGTGTCTTCTCTCTCTCCTCAGAGGCGCTCCCCACCATCATGTTTGTCCTGGTAGAGATGACTGACACAGTAAGAATTCCTCCCTGGCAGTTTGAAAGGAAACTGAATGAATCCATTGTGGAAGAGCTAAACAAAAAATTGGCCAATAAGGTAAAGCGTGGGTCATGAATAAGTTGATGCAGGGGTCATAACATCCCTGAGCATCTCTTTTATTTGTTCCTAATGAGATGTGTGGGTGAGGTATCAGAGTAGTTTAGATGTGAAGGCCATCCCCAGAGACCGAAATACCAGAGATTGTAAATAAAGAGATAGCCATGTATCATGTCAAAGGGGACTTGTTGCTGATGGCTAATGCTGTAATGGGAAGATACTGAGGCGCCAGATGGGGCAGGGAAGCATGGAAGAGAAGTGAGAGTAACTGCTGGTTTGTGTGTAGAGTAGCAATCCGACAGGCAGTCTGAAAAAGAGATGCGAACTAATCCATCTAGTGGGGGAATTTTGAATATGTAAACAAATGTAGAACAGTAATACTGGAAGAGAAATGGAGGTGTTAATAGCTGACTTGGTCTGTACTTGAAATACAGTGTGGCAGTAAGAAGTTGGTCTTTGTGCAGGATGTAAAAAAGTGTTATGTCATAGGCCAGGAGGTCACAGTTTCCCTGTGCAGGCCGTGGGACTGTGATTAGCGTATGGCTTTCAGCACGAGGCAGGTGCAAAACTCAAAATGCGGCTTGTGAATGGAGCTCAAAAGAGCAACCTGAAGTGATCGAGGGTTGTGAACAGCAGATTATACAGACAGGTTATGAAAAGCAAAACTCTTCCCTCATCCACTGGTGACTAGTAGGTGCCTCAAATTTTGTAGGCTGTGAAACTGTCTCAGAAGTAGCAGAGAAACCAAGAGTTCTCCTCATCTCTCCCCAGCGATAATATAACTTAAGACAAAGGCAAGCCTAGAGGCTTCTGAGAGTGTAACTCTAGTGAAAAGTGTGTTTAGCCTTTGGACAAGCTGTGGGGCTGGTGAATGTCGTCTGTGGGCAACTGTTTACTACCTTGGCAGGTCAAGTTCTCTCACTGCTGACAATTACCCCAAGAGTTTTTGTTTGTAGTGGTGCTCTTTGCAGCACCAATGAAAACACTTCCCATAACACTTGAATAAGTTGGGGTTCCCCTGCAATGCAGTGTGCTTAGGGCTGGGGCTGTTGAAGGAGCGTACCAAAACAGCCTCCCTCCCATCTTGCCACCCTTCTGTTGCCTTCTTTTGAAAAGGTGTACACAGTGTATAAATTCGATGGTTTGCTTGATTTAACCCGGTGGGTTGCTTGATTAATTGCTTTTTAACTATTCTCTTTGAGCAGGTTGTCTACAATGTCGGCCTCTGCATCTGTCTGTATGACATCACAAAGCTGGAAGATTCATACATATTCCCTGGAGATGGTGCATCACACACCAAAGGTATATTCTTGTCCTCAGTTATATAGTTTTGCAGAATGTTAGTGGTCTGGAAATGTAAACCAAGTTCAATTGTTAGGGAAAGTAAGTTTAAAGGAACTTACTGAAGTTTGTAGCCATAACTGTGTTCCGGCAAGAACAAGAGGAACATGGCAAAAGTCTCTTTTCTTTGCATTTTTTTGTGTACAAATACAGCTTTAAATAGCCAGTCTTGTTTGCCTTCTCCAGCAGTCCATCACTGTTCTACAATTAGAGCCATAAGTGTGGGCTAAGGAAGGGGTTAATTTAATTTAAAATTGATTGGATCTGCACATAGAAAATAAGTTGTATTAATTGTTCTGTGTTTCTCTAGTATTTTTTCTTTTTGAAGCTTATTTTCCCTAGCTAGAACGTTGAAACATGTTTCTAAATATAACATTTGCACAGCATTTGATGCTGTTTTCCTAGCTGGAAGTTTTGCTACATTTTTCTTTGAGACTTAGACAGATCTCGTCCAGCATACGTTTCTAGTGACTTGTTTTTTAATAAGAAATGACTAATTTCTTTACTTTGACTTTTGGCAACTCTGAATAAAAATTGGAAGTAAATGCATAAAAGCAAATTTCTTTTTTTTTTTTAAGTTAAAATAAGTTTCTTTAAACTGGAAAGAGATGCATTTTTCTAGCTTCAATTTTCAGGGTGGAAGTGTAGCTTGAGCAAATGAAATGTTTCCTGTTAGAAGGGAACTGGACTGACTGTATGTGGCTCCCCTTGTCTAAATTTTAACTCCAAGAGAACTCCCTGCAAATAAAAGCTTCTCTAATACTGAAGGAGGATGGCAGGCTCTCCTGCTTGCTTTCATCTCCATTCAGCTTCTTAACTTTGAATTACTCCTTGAACTGAAAGAAGAGAATATATTCTCTCTGAGCTTGGAAAAAAGTCTCCTGCTTTCAGAATTTGGGGTAGCACTTTAATAAATCCTGCTGTGTCTGGTAATAACTCTTTCTCTAATGTGCTGCCTGATTTTATGTAAAAGAGGAGCACGGAGTGTGGACAGCTAAAATTATGTTAAATTGCTCATAAGCATTGTTCGGCTAAGATTGTCTTAGTATAGCATTCTTATAATTTATAAATTATGTTAGAAACATCGTTTTGTTTAACCTGAGAAAAATGCAGTTATGTTAGAGAATCTTATTTACTCTGATAATATTTGATAGCAAATATTTCATTTAAAGAAAATACAGCATTGCTGACAAAGATAGAAGGAGCAGAAGTATTACAAGAAAGTATAATTTCAACTGATATTCTTGGCCTTGGAGTTTTTTTTTGAAGGAGAGGTTCTGCTCCATGTTCTTCATTTATAGTTTCATTCTGTGAACTTAAACTCTCGCAAGCTTGAAGAGCAGAGAACAGGAGGCTGCTGATCAACCACTGTCATAATTCATACAAAACAGTTAGGAATCAGAACTCTTACTCCGATTTTTCTATCTAATCAGTTCCTGCAAGGAAATTGTAAAAGAAACTGGGTAAGCATTTTAGAGGCATATAGGATGTGGGATTTTATTTTAATGGCTGCCGCCCTGTGGAAAGAGAACGGTTCGCTAACATGTACATAACATTAATGATCTGTTTTCTTTTAAGTGCATTTCCGCTACGTGGTCTTCCATCCCTTCCTGGATGAGATTCTGATTGGACAGATTAAAAGCTGCAGTCAGGATGGCGTTCATGGTAAACCGCAACTTCTAACGTTAGGGACACGTGAGCTGCAGACCTCTTGGGTCTTTTGAGATACTGTGATTTCAGGTTGTGTAGTGCTGTCTGTAGGCTGGTTAAAGACTATTACCGGCCTCTAGCGCTGCTCTGACCTGAGGGTGGTTGGTAGTTTGAGCCTGGCAGCTTCCCCTGTCCTTGATGGTTTTGTCTGCACTCCCCTTTCCTGCTGTCACTCATGTGCATGCCCAAGAAGAACAGGCAAGCCCATCTGGAGCGTAGACTGGATTCATTTTCTCGCTTCAGTTAACAGAACTGTTTTTTGTTTTTTTTTTTTTAAAGTGGTAGTATTGGCTCGTGTTGGTCTGATATGTCTTCGCTATAGTTCTGTGCAAATTCATGATCATTTCCAGTACCTGAAAATATGGCAGAGAAACGTCTTTGTGAGCACAAAGTGCTGTCAGATGCATGGAATACATAATTGATGAGTTGCTTTCCTTTCTTGTACGAGGCTTCCATGCAAGTTGAGCTCCCCTGCTCAGTTGTTAAGTTAGGACAATAAGATTATTTTGGCTGCAAATTCAACATCATGCAATCTCAAGGGGGAGGTGAGGGCTGTTCTAACTTTATATTGGTCTTTATTTAACATGTTACATCTGTGATTTCTAAGCTCTTTTCTGTCACAGACCTCTATAGCATCTGACTCATTTCTTGGAACGCTTTCATTTCCAATCCTGCTCCAAACAGCCTTTTCCTTTCCCAGCGGGCGTAAAGACTGTGCCCTCTGTTGCTGTATGTACTTTCAGCTGGGTGGTTGCTTTGCTGCTAACTGAAATTGAGCGTTGTGGCTCAAAGAATAATTCCTGCATGATGTCAGATGTCCTTCCTGAAAAGGAAAGGAGAATGAGTCTAGAAATGCATTTTAGGAATCACTGGTACATCATTTGTGAAGAATCATTTCAGTCTTAATCGAGTTTTTTTTCTCCACAGTTTCTATTGGATTCTTTGATGATATTGTCATCCCACCAGAATCCCTACAGCAGCCAGCTAAGTTGTATCCTTTGGTCACCTTTGATAACTTTACTACTTCATTTCAAAAGATTGTGCAGTGCTGGCCCAACAGGCATTCACTACTGCAACAATGAAGGTGCTCTCAGTGGCAGAAGCTAAGCCGTTGTGTCGGGCAAGTCCCGCAGACTGTTATCACAGCTAGACAGGCCTCACGCTTATTAGGTTTTGCAGGATCATTGTCCCCACTGATAGAAAAGAATGGCAATGTCCCCCGAACAACCGCATTGTAATCCCTGCCTCTAGTCTTGGCTGCTGCCGAAGACAGAATGCTGGTTTTGCCACATCATGTAATGTCTAGATACATGGTGTGTCTAACATACTTACTTGTGGTGGGCGAGGTCTTCCTGGGTTTGAGGGGGTTTGTTTGGTTCGGGTGTTTTGGTGTTTCTGGGGGGGGGCTGGGGGTAACCTCAACTCTACCCGGCAGCATATGCCTTGAAGCAGGAAAATCAGAAACGAGACAGGGGTCCTGGACTGTGCAGATGATGACCTAGGACAGTGTATTGCGGTTTGAGAAATAATTGTGAAAAGGCTTTGAATTGAGTCTATTCCCAAAACTGTCAGGAAGTGATCTGTCAGGCGGAATGCTGGTTGTTTCCATCCTTAACCCTTGGCGCGGCCAGCGATGAAGCGGAGCAGGTGTGGGTGTGGGAATATGAGACGGAAGAAGGGGCCCATGACCTTTACATGGACATTGGGGAGGAGATCCGCTTCCGAGTCGTGGATGAAACGTTTGTCGATACATCACCGACAGGTCCGAGCTCTGCAGAGGCTTCGACTTCAAATGCCACAGAAGAAGTCCAGAAGAAAGAGGCACCCTACACTCTTGTGGTAACTATGTGCATAATTCACACAGCCTTGTGAACGTTGTGGTTTATTCTGTGTCTAAAATAGCATCCCTTTCCCAAGGAACTGATGGCTTTAAGCTGACTGTGAAGCAAACAGAGTCACAAAATGAAAGGAGTGGAAAAGGGGAGAAACGAGATTGTTCTTGTGGTCGCTCTGTGTTTGCTGTGTGTTTTCATTGGAACACTTTGTGGTTGTTGGTGGAGCTCCCCCTGGGAGGCTGATTTAAAGCAGGCTGCGGATGCAGGATCTGCAGGTAGGAGTGAGCGTACAAGGGGCACAGAGCTGGGAGAACCACATCAAGGTTTACACAGCAGCTAAACGGTCTTTCCCGTGCAGTGTTTTGGCGTTAAGACCCACCTGAGTACCATCCAAGAGACAGATGGATCTAAACCAGTGAAAGCTGTGTTTTCTCACAGCTGGAACGTGTTGGGACGGTCAGGAGGTGGAACGCGCAAGTGCTTGATTTCCAAGTGTTGAATGTTTGTTGTAGCATTGACAAGGTTTAAAGGAGTCTGGGCAAGTGCTGGGCAGGCTCTGATGGGAAAAAAAGCGAGTACCTCCTCCATAACTCAGGGGGGAGAGATTTTATATTTTTATGCATTTACTCTTGTATTTTCTATGCAGTTTACAATTGCACCCTCTCTTCTCTCTGTGAACAGGGATCAATCAGTGAGCCGGGCCTGGGCCTCCTGTCGTGGTGGACAAACAGTTAGCTGCAATCAGAGCCTGCTCCGCAGAAAGTCTTTCCGGTGGATGTTTGGGGGATTATGGGGTCCTGCTGGTGCTCATTGCTCCTCTGAAGCTGAATGAGAAATTAGACCTGCCATTCTCTGTTTCCCCTTCAGCTTCCAATCTGCCAGATCGAGACAGTCGCTTTCAAGAAATGTCTTCGCTGATCTGTGGAAGTGAATTTGCAGGCACAAAAGGCCTTGAGCACAGCAGCAACAAACTCAGCTGGAGCTTTGGTCTCCTGCCCTGAAGGGAAAACTGGGGAGGTCTTTACTCGCCTGAATTAAGAAGGGAGTTGACTTCAGTGAGTGAAAGCAGGAGAGAATGCCTGTCAAGAAGTATTGCTTCCTTGGGCTGAGAGCTTGATCTCAGAGGGGTAGAAACCTGCCCTTCTTTTGGCAGGAAATGCAGAAGAAACAGCAAAAGACTAGAGTTAATAGAGGCGTGGTACTCTGGAGACCTGGAAAAGGCTGCTGCTGGGAGGGCGGGGCGGGTGGTGGTAATGATGTTCTTGCTAAGAATGGGCACTTAACCCGTGGATGAAGTCAGCCAAAGAGAACTGGAATGACAGTAGTTTACCCAGAAGTAGCTTAGGCTCTGTGAAGATGACCACTGTGGAAGGCTACAGGCTGCTTATTGTGCTGAATGGAAATACTTTATTGGGTGGGCTGTGTTTATGTAGAATGAGCTAAACTTTGCGGGAGTTTGGCTGAAAATACATAATTATGAACTGAAACGGACCAAGGCTGCTTTGAGCAAGTTAAATACTTGTTTGTGGGGGTGTGTTAATACCAGAAATGGAATAAATAGTAAAAACCACACAGCCTGCCTTCCTGTACTGTTTGTGGGGAAGCTATTAGCTTCCTGCCTAGCAGGAAGAAAAAAGCTGCCTCCTGCAGTTTAGCTACTTGGATTTCAAGGCAGACAGTGTTGAGACCAACGCTTTGCTCTGCTCTAGCAGCCAATAACAAACAATTGCCATCACCCTCCCTGACAGCAGTGAAAGGAAAGGGGGGAACAAAACGGCGAGTAAAATCTATGCAGGGCCCATTGCCAAGAGAGTGATGTTGCACATAATTACAAAGCCGGCCACATTTGGCAGGAAGGGGCTATAATTCCCTGGGATAGTGGGTCTGCTTAACCTCCAACTGTGAAAACAAAGCCCGAGTCACCAGGGACCTCCCTGCAGCGTCGTTAGAACCCCTTAATTCTGAACTGTTATTCCTGGTGCATTGCCCTAATTAAAAGGGAGCCTAGAATTCTTTAGGTTCACATAGTAACGGAGGTCCATCTGCTCAGACAATAAGCTTACTGAATGCCATCTACAGAGCAGTAGTGCTCAGACATGCAGTCATCTAGACATGGTAGAAACAAACTGTTTGTGGGACACCCCCAGCTGTTTGTGTAGGTGGACGTTCAGGTGAAGCGAGGTCTGGAGAGGCTTCCACACAGGCTGTTCTGGGGTAGCGCGTAACAGGAGAGAACATCTCGGGTACCTTTAAGTAGCTGTTGTGCTCATCTCCCATTCCACAGGGTCAGAGCTCCCAGGAGTGTAGCAAGGTGGCAGCTGCCTTGCTTTATGCGCTGTTCCAAGGAGATACTCCTCAACATCAGTCTCCTGTTGTGGAAAAGCCAAGCTGTGCTTGAGGAAACTAGTTTACTGCACCATGATGCTGGGAAAGCGTATAAATCACTTGCTCCTTGTGAGTTTGTCATTGCTGCAGTAGTGGCACTCTGTTGCCCTGGACAGGAATGTAGTCGGGAAGGCAGCGATAGTCATGAGTGTAGCCTGCAGTAGGTTAATGTCAAGGGATAAACAGTGCAAGACAGCTGTGAGGGCTCTTTTTTTACCATGTGTGTTTGTGCACAGCAATGATTTACACAATAAGAACTGGGCAGGCACCATCTCGTATCTCCAAGAAGTTCTTTCCCACCCTCCCAGCAACAGTGACAGGGGAAGCAGGGGCTGAAGAGCAGGACTGTGAATATAACACCACGAGGCAGAAGAGATGGTCACATTCTTTATTTTCATTTTATTTCTTTAGCCATCAGTAAAGTGAATGGGCAGAAAACAACCAACTGAGCAGAAAAACTCACCTTAGCCGGTTATTTCCAAATATAAATAACTGTGGGACAACCGAAATTGAGCCAAAATAGAAAAAGGGAGCTGGGGAATTTAAAAGACAAAAGTAAGCCTAGCTGCACTCCCTTTTCATAGTGTCAGTGAAGAGGAAGTACCATAACAAAAAGGAAGCTATGGTTACATTTGATCAGACATTTATTCCAACAGTAGGCATGGAATTGCACTTTCATGAAAATGCCAAAGCTGAATCGAGTCCAGTGCACTGGGGCATTGTGCGCACTTAGCTTGCTTTCTGCTGCAGCTCCTTCATTCTGTTCAGGGCACTGCCAGCTTGAAACCACTCTATCTGTGACTCGTTGAAGGTGTGGTTCAGCATGATTGTTTCTTGGCTCCCATTGGGATGCTTGATGATGCATTTCAGAGGCTAAAGGAAGACGACAGATTTTATTTCCCCCCTTCTCTTTCAAGGGAGCAAGTTAACTGAAGCTTCTCACAGGAAAACTCCTATATGTTTTTAAAGGGTTGAAAATGAAAAATTATAGCTGAGGGGGATCTTAACATAGAAGCGTGGATGCAGTTCCTTCTAGGGAGCACTCGTGCTTAAGGAAGTCCAGGAATTCAGAATATTGTACAAGGGTTTCTCGTCACCCTTCGGAATAACGCGATCTGATTCTGACTGGCTCTGTAGCCCCCCCCGACCACTGGTGCAAAGCGTCTCATCTGGCCGGCAGGCTGCACTGCCCATGGGTGCCTGTGCTGCTTCAGGCCCCGCGCAGACAGCGGCACATCCCTTACCCCCGACTGCAATGACAAGACACCCAGACAGTTACCTTTCCGGGTGCGAAGTCTGCCAGCCCCACAATGCTTAGCTTGTCCACAGGATGAATCTTGTTGTAGTCCGCCGGATCAGCGAAAGTGAGAGGCAGTAGGCCTTGCTTCTTCAGATTGGTTTCTGTGGAGAACAAACCACCAAGCACGCTTGTAACAACACACTGCAGGGGATCGGGATCAGGATCACCTTCTGGCTGCCTAGTACTCCTCAGAGTAGTATTCCAGCAACAATTACTATCTTTGAAGCAAAATCAGCATATCCACTGTTTGTGGCATATCTGACTAGATACGTAACAGGATTCCTGACAAGAGGCACCATGCGATCTGTCAGCAGATAGGGCTCATAGGTGCCCATAGGTGTTGAGCCCTGGGGCAAGGTGAACACCGCTTCCACCCAAGCCAAATACATCCTCTGTTTACACACATCACAGGGCAAGCGCGACTCACCGTGGATCCTGGCAAAGCTCTTGGTGATGATGACCCTGCCCCCCAGGTGACGTGGCTCCAATGCTGCGTGCTCCCGGCTTGATCCCTCACCGTAGTTTTCATCCCCAATAACTGCCCATTTGACACCCATTTTCTGTGACAAAAGAAACGGATGTCATTGCTGTGCTATGACACCTGCTCCCTTTGGTTCTGAGGAAGGACAGAAATAAAGGAATTAAGTGCTTCACAGCACTTAGGCACTGCACCCTTCACTAACGAGGGCTGAGGCGGATTGCCCGTAGGACCCAGAGCAAATCCTTGCTGCCACCTTTCCTTCCATGGTCCCGTGCCAGAGCAGCGTTCGCACCAGCCATGATCCCTGCTCTACTTCTGGAAGCAATATGGAAAACTTTAACTTCTGTCTACTGGAAGAACCAATCTGAGACCACTGCCAAGCTGTCCAGAGGGTGAAAGGCCATTTCTTGAGGTTCTAAGCCAAGTTTTAAAGAATGAAGGGGACAAGATTAGAATTTATTTAAACATTAGACTAGTCACAGGTGAAACAACTCCAGGAGGGCAAGAGTTAGTTGCAGTCTGATGACACTCGTGCCTTGTAAGGTGTGCAGTGCCGAAGGGCGTTCTTCCCCTTTCATCTATGATTTCTGGTCCCCTCTGGGTCACAAGATCCTCCCTCCCCCTTCCCCGTACCAGGCAGGGAGATAATCTCCTACAGGAACTGCCATCATCAGAGTAAATCCCAAGAAAAAGCCTCAACGCTGAGTGAATTCACAGCTGCTGTTACGTGAGAGCAAGAGGGCGAGATCCTCAGCCTTGGCACAGACTGCCCAAAGTGTAAACATCCTCTTAAAATAGATGCATCAGGGGAAAGTCTCACCTTGTAGTAACGGGCCGTGTCCGGGACTGGCCCAAACTCCTGGGTTAATGCATTCCTCACAGAGTTGGCTTTGCCATTTTCAATGTTGATGGCGCCGATGAGCAGGTTGTTGGAGATGTTGTCTAGATGGCCACGGAATTTAAGCCACGGTCCGGCTGCAGAAATATGGTCAGTGGTGCATTTCCCTTTTACCTAAAGGGTAGTAGAAGAGAAGAATGTCTTAGGATGGATCAGTGACTCGACCCTTCCTCAACGCTTTTTATTCTGAAGGATCCTCACATCTCTTTTTAAGGGCACGAACCCAAGAGAACTGTATGTGTTACAGAATCAAGACACGCTAAGGCAGAACACAATGGTCATTCTGTGTGCATTGGGTAGGAAGAACATCCCTGATCCAAAGGGTAAATTACGAAAGTGAGCTTAGCCATGACACCTCCTGCCATGTCCTCACTTTCCTCAGCAGCAGGTTCTTCAAGTACAAAAAGCAATTAAGCCCTTCCTGCTGCAGCTCAGCCTCCCTGCTGCAGCTCAGCCTCCCTGCTGGGGGAGTTCAGCAAGATGCCAAGTGTTTCCTTTAAGTTTCCAATCTGCACATAAGCCTTCTCAGCTTGTAAGAACAGAATTCCCAACCAGAGATAATGGCCTTCCAACTGGCAAGTCCCAAAGTGCTTGCAAAGGGATTGCCCGTGTCAAAAACTCAAGCACTTCTCAGTATGGCCCTTGGGAGTACCTGCAACTCTCTGCCACTGAGAATCAGCAACGTTCCTGAAGGTCAGTTCCTAAGGGATTGCATTTCAGAACCCATCACTGTATTAACTGAAGTTTTTATCCTGTTAACTCACCACAGGCAGTGAGGAGAAACCCATGTCTTCATTAAAGAGACTGAAATGCAATGTTTAACTATTGTGAAGTAATTTCTCTTTCTAGAAAACGGGAAGAGAACACACATACTGATGGATGAGAAGTTCCTAACCACCTCATTTTGGACAAAACGCATCTTAGAACAGTCAGGTATTAGAGACGCTAATTAAAGAACCCATCCACCTTTCCGCTGCAGGTTATAACTGGGACAAATTCTGCAGACTGCATGGTATGGGTAGGATCGTACTACATGGTATAACAAGCTTCATTTTTCATGGTATTAGCTAACCGCTAGCCCAAATGAGAAAAGTCTCTTAGTTGTAATAGAAAGAAGTATCAGAAGGAAACACCTGGAAGGAAGGAAGACCTTTGCTTCACTTTCCACACCAATGTAGTTGTAGGGGAGGGAATCACAAGATAGCTCAAAGGCACATCCAAAGCTTCGAGCAATTGATGTGCAAACCCCTGTTCAAGCAGTCCTGTCATAGTCAGTGTTCCTCACTTCGCTCCTGACCTTGATGAGGATCAGCATGTCTTCTAGATCCTTGCCGTCCCACTTATCAAAGGGCTCAAGAAGCTGGAGGCGCTGGCTGGTGGGGCTCACATCCACATGCTGCCCACTGCCATCCTTGGGAGGGTACTGGTAGGTGTCCTGGCCTGGGTCAAACTCCTTCCAAAAAAGAAAGGAAAATCGTCAGCCTCAGCCATCCCCAACAGCACTTG